TTTATAACTCTGTTGCCATGATGACTTAACACCTAAAACCCTAAAATGAGCTTTACAGCTTAAACAATACACATTTAAGTGCTTCATAGTAACCTCAAATTTTGCTTTTTTTTTAAGAAAAGGAGGGAACCTGGGATATTCCTTTAAGACACAGCATGGAACTGAGAGGATTTTCAACAAACTCATTTTGTGTTGTGATCTAAACAGTTCAGTTTCTTAGTAAATACTTTAAATATTAGCAATACTTGTTGAGTCTTATCTCCAGCTGTGAGAGCAGGAACTCAGCAGGTACAATGATGTGTCTGAACACGGTGAAATCAGTGCAGATACTGTAGGAAGTGCACAGTTCTGTCAGCGCCTGGTGCATCTTATCCAGACTACAAGACAAGAGAGCCAGTGAGATCTCATATCTACAGCTAGCTATAATGATGCTATAAGATGTTACGTACTTTGTGACGATGGCTCTGTCCTTCCTGAGGCTTTCTGCCCCTGGTTTCACTTTAGGCACATCTCCCTTCTTTGGTAATGACTTCTTCAGTTTTTTGTTGCGTGCTGTACTGATGGTCTCGGCACTGTGTTTGGGCAGTAACTAAAACACAGTTTTAAAAATGTACGTTTTATGTTGGTTGATCCTCATGCCTTTGCGTCACACTGAATCATCTAGTTCACTGTGTTTGAAGTAACAGTGTAACGTACCTTCTCATCTAGGTTACACTGTTCAGCACATATCTCCAGCACAACCGTACACGTCTGTCGGGAAATCTCCTCCAGAAAGCTCACACACAGCTTCAAGCTTTGATTCTCTATTTCCTCAGTCTAGTCCACGCGCACACATGCATTTAACAAGAAACATATGACAGAACATCACTTAGTAGTAGCGCAAATAGTGTTTCAGTTTTTACTTTCTATGGTAGAAACTTTACTTAAAACCCCACTTTTTGGCCATTAGAACGAAATATGGCATGCACTATCTAGATGATCCTCGAACAAAAATCCTTGCTATTCAACAAATCAGCTGCGAGATACAAGACAACACATTTTAATGGACCTTTAGGTTCTTAACACAAAGTCCAGAATTAAAGATGCTTGGTGCAGCTGGACACCTGGACAGTCTGAGGGCAATAATAGATAGAAAACTGTGGTCACGATAACTAGGAAATCGACCCAGTACTGGCATTATGAATGATATGCTGGTTAAGTATATGTATTTCAGTTATCTTCAGTCAGATGCATTTGACTGACTCTCAGACGACTCTTGTGGCCAAATGACTTGCAGAATCTAGAGTGGGATGTCAGTATAGTATCTATTGTTTGACAAAACTCTGAGCTAAGATTATCTGAAGGCAGACAAGCTAACATCGCTGCTGAAGAACTGTGCTAGACTACTACCGTCAATAAATTCTTCTCCCCACAAGAACTCCGGTCAAGCTTACTTATATACTTATTAGAGAAATCTAAAACATTGGCGAGCCAGGTTAACAGTACTGACCTCCTCTGGACAGAGCGGATGGCGACACTGACTGAAGTGTGAACAGATGACTGGGAAAGCCGTGAGGTAGCGCTGCATGGACACATCCTCACTGCTC